CGCTCTAATTTTTATTTTTTCCATGAACTCGGTTTCGTTCGACAAACGCGGGAAATACGTTCGCGGAGAACGCGAAACATGCGCGCCTGTCAGCGCTTGGTGGAATGGCGCGACTTTCAGAAAATCAAAAGGCGGTTATTGTTACTCAAGCAACGTTGACATGATTTTCGCTATCACGTTCGTAATGCCCAGGTGTCATCATATTAAAACTTATGCATACTCGATGAAATCAATTTTAGTGATATACAGAGACACATCTCGGACGAATCTCCGCGCCTTGAATAAACACAAAAGCTATTTTCGCGTGTTTGGACCGTTGGAATTTGGACATTCCGGAGAGAATTAAAACATTAACTTTTATCTTCAATCCCGCGTGGAATTGAAGATAGTTGGCGGAAAACTTTTTTGAAAATCAAAATATTAAAAAATTAATAATAAATAAATAAAAATAAAAGACATAATATTAATGAGAAATAAAGATTAGAGTCTATTTACGGAGCGTGTAATTTTTAAGATGAACGTTGAAGAAAAAATCGATAAAACTTTTAAAAGGAGGAGAAAGGAATAGTAAAAATGAGACGCGCGTTAGGAAAACTAAAAATAAATCATTAAAATATACAACAAAATTTGCTAATAAGAAAAAGAATACAGAATTGTCGGTGAAGTCTTGAGGAAAAGTTGGCGCCAAAACTCTCGAAGAGAACGAGTGCGACACGTGAGTCTCAAAGCTGCCTTCTGCCTCTTTTCATTTTAAAGACAATTCAAGATATTGCCGTCGCCTGGCGATGAAATTGAATGCCAAACACCTACTCACCCCCGCATTCCATTCTTCTCACTATCGCACGCCTGTTTTCAGAGATCGAGCCCAGTTTCCCTTATAGAGATGTGACGATACGCCGAGGTGTCGAGTTCAAGGACGATTATGACATCCAGTCGGAGCTCGGACGGTGAGTGATTAAATCCGTCGATCGGCCAATGCATGATGCCTTGTGTGTCGTGCCAACAACGTGTCAATCACACGCAATCGATGTGTATTAATCTTGATACAATCAGGAATTTAACGTCGTGACTGAAAGGGGAATTTCCAAGAAGTCAATACGAGGATTATTACATCAACTTAGTTAATTAGTTTAATTTATCGACTTTCAGAGTACATACTTCTTCTATGCGATAACCCTTCTGATCTAGAGCGTAAAAAATAGTCAATGTGCTTACGCTTCTTTTAACTCCATCCGCTCTGAATGAAATCATAGCCATTGATAATGATTAACTTCTAATTAAGATCTAAATACAAATATTTGACGTCTGCATCATGTGACCTTCACTCTATATTCGAATATCGAATCCCAGTCAGCGCCATATCCAAAATCGTGACATAAGACGTCTTAAAAATATATTGAGACATCCTTTAATCATAAGATGTCTTAAAGATGCCTTAAAGCTAGGTGTCTTCAAGATGTTTTTTATCTTCCTATTTTGGACATGTGTGCTACCTGGGATGTTTAATATCTTCTGCAACGATATTAGAGCTGTTGGCCCGTTTCCATGAAATAATGCGGTAATGACAGAATTACAGGAATGTGCTGTGTTGCTGTCAGGTGCACGTCTGAGGAATGCAGTGCGAGCTGATAAGATGAACACGCGCGGTCTTGTTCGCGCCGGCAATCAAGGACTCGCGAGATACGTCTATAGTCTATAAATAAATATCCGTTTCTCTCTACCCATCGAGTGAAACGGTATACGCACGTCGAACTGCGTTCCGATGTTGAGCTTGGGCGTGTCGGTGCTCTTGACACCGGTGGTGAACTCGACCGGCCCGTCAGTGCCGGAATGTGGTTTGACAATGAAAGCGTTTGCCCTACGATTTCGAAATCATAGACGAACTTATAAGAGAACGCGAACGGCGCTAGGATTGCTAAAATAAACTGAGAACATTTTTTATTTTTCCCATGAAATTGGACGAGATTCTCGCCGATTTACTTTATAGCTTCTTTCTATCTTTAACATATCAACGTCGCTCATAAATTAAATGCCAAACACGAGAAATTTAATATAGATACTAATAGAAAGAACAAAATAAGTCTTCTGGTGGGAAATTTTGTAACGTTTAGATTCAACTATATCCTTCTTTAAAAGATGGGCAATCTTCAACTCTATTTTGTCGAATCGTGAGACTTCTTTGTGTAACGCAACCGATTAATAATAAATTAATAATTGAAATATGTCAATAATTAATGTATAATAATAGAATTTAATTAATAGACTCAATAATTACATCCGTTGACTTACAATTAAATACTAACTTAATGATTCACTGTGCAGACTTGGCTTCGTGACAAGTATGTTGTATTTTGCCTCGTGCTGTCAGGGACATATTGCGGATGTACAGCTTTGGCAGAGCTTCCTGTGTGTATTTATCACTTTTTATGCGTAATTTGTTATTATCCAAGAATTATGTTCCAAGGCACGATTTTGTATACTAAACTTGTTATATTATAGTCAACGGAAATCCAATTCATTTTTTACATAACTATTTGTGTATAAGCTACTCGATGTTTATCTTGTTATGCTGATCTTTGGTCTTTCCATTTCAGGGGAAAATTTGGAATTGTTTACCGATGCAAAGAGAAAAGGAGCGGCTTGATGCTCGCCGCGAAAGTGGTGAACGTCGTAAAGAAGGAAGACAGACGTGCTGTGCAGAGAGAAGTAGATATTATGCGGCGCTTACAGCATCCACGTTTGATTCAGCTGTACGACTCCATTGAGGCGGGGAAACAGATATATGTCGTTCTAGAATTGTACGTTTTTTTCTCGCGGACGAGGCAGCGACGTAGGGAGCGTAAGATTAGAAAGAGACGCGCGCTGCGGGATTACATTTAAATTTGCATCATTTAAGGATCGACGGCGGCGAGCTCTTTGAGAGAGTGATAGACGACGATTTCGTACTGACGGAACGCAGTTGCGCCGTTTTTATGCGGCAAATATGCGAGGGAATAGAATTCATGCATAGTCAAAAGATCTTGCATCTCGATCTAAAAGTGAGTCGTTGGATTGCATACGAATTACTTTGAAAATTGATATTAGATAATCGTACTCTTTGTAAATCTTTCTTTTACTTTTTATATATAATTATTTATAACATGCCAATTATAAAATTATTTCTAAATATACTTTTAAACGTTCTTTAAAAATAGTTTATTATAAATAGAAATATAATTAACTATTCTCTTCTTTTCTTTATATCTAATTATTTATATGATTATTAAAAATTTATATAATTATTTAACATATATGTCTGCTGTGTAGCCGGAAAATATTCTGTGCCTAACGAAGGAAGGTAATAGAATCAAAATCATCGATTTTGGTTTGGCAAGAGAATACGACCCAAGTAAGAAACTACAAGTGTTGTTTGGTACGCCTGAATTTGTTGCCCCGGAAGTCGTAAACTTTGACCAAATCGGATTCGGTACTGACATATGGAGCATAGGTGTTATTTGTTACGTATTGTAAGTTAATTACGGTCCCGCATATTACAGCTTTATAAAAGATACCCCTCATGATGATTGCTCATGTAATTAATTATTATAGATTGTCCGGTTTATCACCGTTCATGGGCGATACGGATATAGAGACAATGGCGAACGTTACCATTGCAAAGTACGACTTTGATCACGAAGCCTTCGCCGAGATCTCAGAGGACGCGAAAGATTTCATAAGATGCCTTCTGGTGAAAGACAAAGAGTAAGTATATACATATTATATGTACTACTCTCTCCTATGTTTTCAATTTCTCTTTCCTTGTTCCTCTCTTCTTTTATTATCTCTTCTTTTTATACTTTCATCCCATCTGTATCTTGCTACTCTCAGAAAAGTCTTTTTTGTTACGCTGTTTAAATTATTCTCTTTCACTCGTTGTGAGGGTGTGTGTATGGCTCACAAGCAATGTGCTTATCATGGCTAATCTGACTTCCATATTATTATCTTACTCCGAAATGTTTTACTTTAATGAACACATGTATCAATATCCATGAATATGTCAGACTATAGATTAGAAAAAAGCAATTCCATCTTGTAATTAAACGTATAAGAATCTATTTCGTCATAACTGTAGCAAAATGTACGTTACTCCGATTTTATACAGCAATTATTATTTTACTCTTGTTGCATTTAAGAAACGATTTTATTGTCTCGAGAGCGTCCAAATATCAAATGAACGACATGAATATGTAAAGTTACATTCAAATAATTTTTCATCGAAAATTTTGTACTCGGATATACATAACGCATGCGACATATGAGGAGCAGACTTTCAAAATGCGTTTTGTCCAAAATTTATAATTTTTAGAAAACGAAAAAGAAAGAATTTAAACTCCGCACACAAGAAAATTATGCACTTTACAGAAAATAACAATATGTCAATCAATAGAATGTGAAATATTAAACAAAATTGCTAAACAATTGCTAAAAATGTTAAACAAATGCATTTTATTTGTCTCTAATTAAAAAACATAATGCATTTCGAAATGTCTTTGTTTTTTCAGCATATAAATTAATGATGAAAAAATGCTTTCTGAACATCTCAGAGTAGTTTATAATATGAGTCTTTCAACACTGAACACTGTGCCATTTCTGACTAAAAAAATGAAAAAATGAAATTTTAGACAAAATATATTTTGAAATTCTGTTCTTCATACGCACATTCGTACTATTCGAGCCTACGTCGTCGTATTGTACTCTTCGTTCATACATTTTCGTCCCAATTGTTCGCCCTTGGATCGCGGAATCGCGTGTCTCCACGCGACAAGGGAAATGCACTATCGAGCCTGGGACTAGAGCACGACCCTCCTCACGACGAGCCTTTCGAATCTTTCAGAAAGCGAATGACGGCGGCGCAATGTCGGGAGCACCGCTGGTTGGCCCGAAAAATGATCAAGCCCAAGAGCGAGAAGGAGACCGCGGGATTGGCGGCGGCCAAAAGGATGGCCTTCATCGAGAATCGTCCTGTCATCGGTGTTGTCGACAGAGACGAGCTGGACGTGACCAAGGACAATCTCAGACTGTTCGTCGAACGTTGGCGGGAACATCCGGACAGCCCGTACACGGTCGACTCTTATCACGCGTTGCCGAAGAATCCGCTTCGCGATCGCGAAGAAACCATGTCTCTGCGGGGTCACAGTCCCTCTCCCTGCGACAGTCTTCGCAGCAGCAGCACGCAATCGGAGAGGGTGATGGACTCCGCCATGAGAGATAATTCTAGCCACTTGTTGGCCGTGCCAAGTCTCAGCTTATCCTTGGAAAGGAGAGCTTCCGAAGGTACGGCTGCGCGAAATCGTCGCGATCCCGCCAGTCAGATCGCTTTGGCCGAGGAGATCATCAAACTGTCCGAACACTTGCGCTCGATCGCCATGGGATCGCGGATGAATGAAGAAAACAATGGAGATGCAACGGCAGTGCAACAGTCCACCAAGAAGCCTGGCGATGACGAAAATAATTACGATATCTCGAAGAGCAACATTAAAATAACCGCGTCTCATGTCAGTAAAGAATCTAACGAGATCACGGAAAAATTGTCCAGTATCACTCGACAGCGAAAACTCAACGGGACGACCTTTCATAGTAGTCGTAGTTTCGACAGATACAATTTCGATACAAATTTCAATAATGTATTTGTGGCTTTGAGGAGGACGAGTATCGGCGATGCGTCTGATAGACGAAGGGATTCTCAAAAATATTCCCTCGAACGGACGGCGATCACCAAGGCGATGGAGGAGAAATTCAACGGGGAAAAGATCGGCAGAAGAAGGTCTTCCGTCGGTGCGGAGGAAATGGACTTGACGCCGCCTTGGCGGCGGCCGCGAGTGAAACGATCCTTTGGCGAAACTAGCAGGGATGTTCCACGGATATCGAATTTGCGGGATCTACACAAGAATCTGAATCTGGACGAGCCTGGCAGCGCCAAGGACCTGCTATTGCATCTGTTAGGCGAATGGGAGGAGGTCACCACGACATCCTGCAGCGGTAACGGTGGCAGCGGCGGCATCGGTAGAAAGTCTATGTGCCTGGATTGGTGTGCTGCCGATACGATCGCCAGGAAGACGATGAATTCATTGGCAGAGTATTTCCAGTCGAAGCAACAGGAAGCGAAACCTTCCGACGTCGCGTCATCCACGTCGCCGACGATATATCGTTGAACGATACGTTCATCCTGTTAGAGGTTGCGCATTTGCGAATTTCGCGGATTGGTCGCAGACGGATCAGGAAAATGCGCGATGTTAACAATCTTTCTTCTTTCCGCAAATATTTGGAACGATTTGCTTAAGATGAAATTTATGCGTCAAACGCTTAGGGCAATAATATACTTGATGAATCGTAAAAATTAATCTATGAAAATGTAAATTTCTTTAATCTTTAAAGTTGAAAATTGATTTTATAATCTTTTAACCCTTTTCAATTCATTTCGGTCATTTATGTCTTAGAGAAAACTATTACAAATAACAAATAAGTGCACTTTTATTTCTTATTTAATTAAGGTTTTAAGAAGAAATTACGAAGAGATGCAGAAGAATATTTTTTAATATATTAAGAGGGATGGATAATAAAAAGTATAAGTAACTTTTAAATATCTTAACGCCTGCTTAAGTTTATCAGTGACCATCTGAATCATCTCCGTTTCTTATTTTCACAATTAAAAACAAGGCAGAATCTTGTAATTTTGTAACATTTTAGAAAATGTGTATATAAAACGTTACGAAAGTGCAGGATTATAGAATTCTCTGTAATTGAACTTGAAATATATAGATTCTAATGGATATTTATGCACAAAGAAATAAAAATGAATAATGGAGATGGTGGCTTTAATAAAGATTGTAAGAGCGATAAAAAAAGCTTATGAATTACAAATAAAGTCTACGGTCATATACTTTATACTCTATAAAGCAGACTTCTCGATAGTTGTGTACCATCAGCACACCCTCCAATTATTAATATTTTTATATGCGTCAGTACGACACATTAATTTTCATCAAGATATCTATCGCTTTGATTCAATTTAATCCCTTGCGAACTAATAAATCTATAGTGACGCTTTTAATAACAAGAATGGCGCAATCATTCGTTCCGAATTCGAAAACAAACAATATTCTCTACAAACAACTTTTATAAGTTCCACAGAAAACTGTTATATTTAATACACATATACATATATATTGTACTTTTATTTATTAATAACATTATTTGGATATATTCTCTGTATTATAATAGTAATATTAAATATGAGAGACACATAATAGATTAAGTCTAGATTTTTTACTAAGTATGTTACATGAAATTTGCAAAAGAGCTGAATGAAATAATATATATTTCTTGTTAAATAGTCACTGTTCATATATATTTTATATTTAATATAAATCACAGTACACTCTACACACAGGAAAGTTTTCGATTACTTCATGCACCCATACATCTCCCACAACAGTGAATAGAAACTGATTAATCTTCTTGCTATAGGAAAAGACCGACTGCAGGAAAGCTTATAGAGCATCGTTGGCTGGAAGCCGCTCTGGAGAATCCGATACAGAAGCATCGATTGAAACGCTACGTCATTAAGAAGCGTTGGGTTAAGGCTGTTAACACTATTCTGGCATTGAAACGAATGGGCGCGCGTCTAGACTTTGATTTGATCTAATATATCGGTAACATCATCCAAACTTGATGACGGTATACGAAATAAACGGTTGTAACGAAGTAGTGTAGCAGGAAATCAAAATTTGAAAAAGTTAAGCCATTTGGTTTGCAACGAGGTTTGCCCCATATTAATGAAGATCTTATATTAACTTCGACCTTTGACGTCTTTATGGTCAACTGATTTGATTCATTTTTTCTTCGATGAAACTAAGGTTTTTACACTGAGAAATCAGTTAAAATAGTTTGCTACGCTACACTATCCAGTAATAAAAAATTACCGTCAATTCGACGAATCGTTGTCGAAATCATCAATTCTTCAATTATTAATTCGTTGTCGAATTGACATTGATTTGATGAGTCCTCAAATAGCAAATCGTGTTTCAGCAAAATCACACAAATCTGTGATCGCTTATGATGCTGGCAACTTTCCTTAGATTTATCTTCAACGATTTCAAATATACCGACATTGTAGCAACATGCAGACAACAATATGTATATGTATTGCCAGCAGTTTAACAGCAAGATAGCTGCGTCAATGTTATCTTGCGTTGTCGGCAATATGACAGCATTGTATGATGCTACATATTATTATGGCAACATGATGGCAATAGTACGGATTTTGATGATGACGATTTTAAAGTTGTCGACAAATCGCTGACAAGTTGCTATTCAATGTTATCATATCGTGAAGGCATCAAGTTGCCAACAAATGAGGACTCAGTTGCTGCAATTCTGGTAGCAACACATACTTAACAATGCATACTTAGCAAGTAACATACTTAGCAAGTTAACAAAAAGACAGACACGTTGCTATCTGGGTCGTTTCTCGCGTACTTAATAAATATATTTACCATCAATGCGATATATACATATATATTTTTTTACGCATTGCCTTGCATTATTTCTGCAGTATAATTGTTTATTCAACGCGTATGTCGGATTTTAATTACAGAATCCGTGACAGATATGTATAATGAACAAAATTCAAGAGAATAGGATAATTTTTATTCGAAATGAAACAATAGGCGCTCAATTCCGACGTAGTATATCATTCGATTGTTGTTGAAAACGAGGTCGTATTCCCTATTGTCACGCAAAACGCTGAATTGAATGAAAAACAACTATTCTGCACAGTTAAGTGGATAATTTGTCAGCAAATTATTGTCATGCAAATACTATTGATTGAAATTCAATAAAATTGCATTTTTCCTGCAGCTGTTTAATTTATATGGATCATATAATTGGAATTTGTTTGAAATATTAAATCTGTTCTTTAAAGCTAAACTAGTATAGATTTGTATTTAAAATGAAGTAGATATCTATTATGTGTATTTGGCGAAAGAGCGAGATAGAAAGTTTTAATGTAATCCAATATATAGAGATAAAGAGCAGATACATAAGTCGAATGTAAGAGGAGAGTGAACGGAAGCGTAAAGGAAATTTCTAGGAAGCGAAAATTGAGACAACAAAACGTAAAAGAGCTAGATGTTATACTTCTTTTATTTTATTATCTTAATTTTTACCTTCTAGAAGTTTTGTTAACACTTCTATCACTCCAGATCTCGGTCTTTACATTCAACTAACGCTCCGATTTTTATTTTTGTAGAGTGTGTATATTTATGCATATAGTGTGTATTATGTATTACATATGTGCATACTATGTAGGTATATATATTTTGAAAATACTACACGCTGACGTATGAAATTATATATTTTATATTTAATAACAAAGTCTTCAACGATAATGTATGAATTGCATGCAAAAGTCATGCAAATGGATCACGAAATGAGAACAATTTGAGTTTCCTAGAAGGAGAATACGATCCGTTCGAATTACGTGAGTCACCCTGTATATTTATAGCTATAATGTCTCCCGTTCTCTAAACACACAATACGATTCGTTTCGTTTGCGACATATCATTTGTACGAAATAAGATTGTGATCGCTATAGTTTATTTGCAATAGCTTTATTTGCGATAGTTTTATTTGCAATGCACTTATTTAATGAACTATATTATTTTAAATATTGTAATATATAATCGAACGCATTTGTTAGTCGAGATTATTATATAATTTTGTCTTACATCTTCTGTATAAGTTGTGTAAATTTTTGCAAATTAAACTAACAATTTTAATATATTATATTGACATATATGTTATTATAAATATACATATAATTTTTATGTTTTGCGCGGATGCAGCAGGATGAGAATCGAAACTGTGTTATCCAGTGAGAAAATTTACGAATGTGTGTTATGTAGTTCCACATCCATTTTTAAAGACATAGTTGGCGCTTCAGTTTGTTTTATTTACTTCTTGTCAAATGAGTGATCTATTGACTAAATATTTGAATGCGCTTTTAGTGCAATAAATATATTTAACATGGTGAGTGTTCATCTTTATTAATGAAACACTAGGAAAACAGATAAATTGTTAGTTGATGTTAAACTGCATATACATAGGATTGTATTAACATAAATAATATTTTTAGGTTATATAGCGTAAATCGGTATTTTAATAATTAATGTGTATAATATTGTGTTTAACAGCAATTAATATTTAATTTAAAAAATATTAAGTGATAGTAATTTATGATTTGTGTATTGAATAAAAATGATAGTGTGATTGATCTTTTAATATTTTTATTTAGGGTGAGGATGTGTTGCAAAATTGGAGCCCTTATGCCAGAGAGTACGATCCCTTAAAAGCAGGTAGTATCGATGGGACAGATACGCAACCTCATGACAAGGCTGTTAATAGGGCAATGATAATGCACTATGAGCCACCGCACAATCTAGAATCCAAGGCGGAAAGAACTATATTTGTAGCTAGGCTTAGTTCCAAAATTACTAATTATGATCTGAAAGAGGTAGTTATCTAAAAAATGATACATTTGGCAATTTTATTATATGCTTTATATAATTATTTATAAACTTTAAATTGCTATTGTTTAGTTTTTCAGCAAATATGGAGATGTTATTTCAGCAAAGGTGATAGTAGATGTGGTGACTGGACTCTCTCAAGGATATGGTTTCGTGGAAATGAAAAGTGAAGAGGAAGCTAGAAGAGTGTTAAGACGAACTGTCGATGCCACATTAAAAGGATATAAAATTTTCATTGATTACGAATGTGGTCGTAGCTTGAAGGGATGGAAGCCAAGAAGACTTGGTATCTATTCAGTAATTAAATATATACAATCTTTATAGACAAGTATTAACAATTTTTATATAATATCTGTAATCTTTTTAGGAGGTGGTTTTGGTGGCAAAAAAGAATCAGGTCAACTGAGATTCGGAGGAAAGGATAGACCGTTTAAACGACCGATTGTACCTAATATTTTAAAGCCAAAAAGATAAATAGTCTCTTCTTCGACATTTATGACACTATTTCCATCGACTGTTGCTATCTTTTCATTCGTACCGTTTCTCTCTTTCATTTATTATTCCAACATTATTAATAAAGCAGTACACTGAACATGGGTTTTGTCATTCGCCAATTTGGATAGCGTACGCTTCTGTAATTTTTATCACACTGCTCTTGCTATTTTAACATCACAAACCCTGGTAGATCCGCTATAAAGAATTTACAGAATATTTGATGTAATTTATCCAATAACTATCATTGAAATGGACAAGCGCATCGTGTTTCATCTCACCCATTGTAAATCGTGCGGACAATTTCGCGTTAAATCTTCGAGAGTAGTCGCAGATACATCGCAAGATCGTATTCGCGTTCGCCGGCAA